GAATGCTGCACAACCTCAATCCTTATATAACATTCCTAGAATCACAGAATCATAGAATGGCCTGGGTTGAAAAGGACCACAAAGATCATCTGGTTTCAACCCCCTGCTATGTGCAGGGTCTCCAACCACCAGACCAGGCTGCCCAGAGCCACATCCAGCCCAGCCTTGAATGCCTCCAGGGATGGGGCATCCACAGCCTCCTTGGGCAGCCTGTTCCAGTGCGTCACCACCCTCTGAGTGAAAAACTTCCTCCTAATATCTAATCTAAAACTCCCCTGTCTCAGTTTAAAACCATTCCCCCTTGTCACTATCCACCCATGTAAACAGCCATTCCCCCTCCTGTTTATATGCTCCTTTCAAGAATTGGAAGCCACAATGAGGTCTCCCCAGAGCCTTCTCTTCTTCAACCTAAACAAGCCCAGTTCCCTCAACCTTTCTTCATGGGAGAGGTGCTCCAGCCCTCTGATTGTCTTAGTGGTCCTCCTCTGGACCCATTCCAAGAGCTCTGTGATCAGTCATAAACTCCTCAGTGATTTCAAGCACAAACAACAATTTTCGCTTCATTCCCTTGGATAGTTTGAGAATGAAAACATAATAGATGGTTTGGGGATTGTTTAATATGTGCATGTTTCTCCAAATTCTTACATTACAAAACTTCATAAGGTTCAGTGAGCATTTTGCTGATTTTCTTAGCCAACTCTTTAATTTAAGACATTTTACATAATCTGCCCTTTTCTGTAAATGCCAGCGAGTAAAGTTTTGTCCTCATTATATCTGCTTCATGTGATTTTTGCTGGAAAGTCCTAATGAGGAATTTATATTACACTGCCCAAGATGTTTCTCTTTGCTATACCCACCTGATATTTGGCATGCTCTGTCTCGCTGTCTTATGATGACAAGGTTTTGAAATGCAAAAAGGTGCTAAGGAAAGCCTTTAAAAATGAATTTCCCTTCATTAAAAAGAAATATCAAGTACTGTAGAGTGCTTTCCAGCTCAAACGTCAGGCATTAAGCCTTTCATCAGTTAAAGACTTTGGGGGAAACATTCAAGATCTTCTTATTGCTGTTTTAAATTTAAGCATGTTTTCTTATTATCTATAGCGAGGTTCTACTCTATAACAAATTATAGGTAAGTAAATAAATAAATAAATACACCTCCTGGAAAAAGTGATTTAGTGGTTTTTCTGAGTCTTCTATCTGTTCATTCCTCTGAGAGAGATGAAAACCTGATCCTTCACAGCACGTACTCTTTGTGACTTTTCTACCATGCTTTTTTGCCAAGCTTTTCTCAGAGTGAGAATGATCCCTCTCTGATGTCTGGCACGTATTACCTGCTGTCAGCTAATAACAGTGGCTTTTGACAAAGCCTCATATATTTCCCAGGAGGAAAATCATAATGTTATTCTCATTTTTCTTTATATTATTCAGATCTGTGTATTCTCCAGTACAGAGGAAAAGCTCTAAAAATTGCAATTAATACAAATTCTACAATAAAAATTTTTAAAAAATAATAATAATAAAGCTTTACAAACAAAAAGAAAAGAAAATATGCAGGAAAAGAAAAAAAATAGAACAGCTTTAAGATCTTTTTTTAAAGATCTCACACACTTATTAAGGATATTTGCCCCAACAAAGGTAGATATGTACAATGGTGGTAACATAAACCGACTGACAAACACATATAAGGGAACATGAACCTTTTAATAGAGGCTAAAAAACTTGTGTGAAGGATAATCTGATAATCAGATTCCCATAGTGTTCCAAGGAGCATGTAGTTCATTTTGCTGGGATTAGATAGACTATTTGCATCATCTTTGTTCCACAGCTTTAGCCACTGTTTTTAAGAAAACTGAGAATATTAAAATGTTACATTTTTTTCTTCTCTACCTTGTGCCTAAAAAACTCAGCAGTATTTCAGCCATTTTCTTCCTTGAATTTCGAGTACTTAAACACTTCTGATAAGTTAGGGAAATAACAACTGCCCTTATTTCTTTTCTTACAGTAAAACAAAACCTCCTGTCGTCCTCCCATACTGTCTGCTAAGGCGAGTGATCTATCAGTGAAAGTTGTTTCTCTGTCCTTGTGGCATCCCACTACTGAGAGCCTTTAAGACTAGATGCTTTAGGATGGCCTTGGGATAAGGATGCCAAAGTATCCGTTTTGTGCTGGCTTGAACCTAATGATTCCGAGGAGATTATGCCTGATTTACAGAACTGTAAGTGAGATCAGAGCTAAGGAAACAGATCCACAGAGTTATTTAGTCATTTATTCCTATGGAATATACCCTGATGGCTGTATGGATGAGATGCCTATATGAATGTTTTTTTTTTTTTTTGGAATGCGTTGAACAGATCTCAGAGAAGAATCCTAATTGTAGGCATTTCATGGATCCATTTAATCACATTAAAATATTAGTAAGAAAAAGTTTAGCTTGAAGAAGAAGAGGCTCCAGGGAGACCTCATTGTGGCCTTCCAGTACTTGAAGGGAGCATATAAACTAAAAGGAGGATGATTGTTTACATGGGTGGATAGTGATAGGACAAGGGGAAATAGTCTTAAACTGAGATGGGGGAGGTTTAGGTTATATATTAGGAGGAAGTTTTTCACTCAGAGGGTGGTGACACACTGGAACAGGTTGCCCAAGGAGGTTGTGGATGCCCCATCCCTGGAGGCATTCAAGGCCAGGCTGGATGTGGCTCTGGCAGCCTGGTCTGCTGGTTGGAAAACCCTGCACATAGCAGGGGGGTTGAAACTAGATGACCTTTGAGGTAGTTTTCAACCCAGGCCATTCTATGATTCTGTGGTTCTATGAAAAGTACTTCATATGCCTTTATAAAAAAAGCAGCAAATCAATATAGACACCAATAGACTTTCCATAGGGACTACCTATTTAAATGGCCTGAAAAAAGCAGCAGTTTGAAGTTACTGTGTAAATTCATTTCATTGTTAATTTTTCTACAATAAAGATTTGTATGATGGTTAATGAAAACCTAGAAACTGAGTTAACATTGTGATGTTTATCTGCCTGGAAGATGTTTAGGAAAAATCAAAAACTGAGATACGTATGTTATATACTTGTGCATTATTGGTCAGATTTTAGACTTCAATTGATTTCTTTCTTTTCTTTGCTCTTTCTGGAGAAGATGAAGTGACTCAACAATTGCAGATAGACTGAAGGGAAGAGAATTTGTGAGGAGATAGTATATATTTCATTAGACTAATAATGCTGGAAAAAAAATGGACAAGTTTCTAAGCGCACAGGAGCACATAAGGGCCACACAAATGGCCAACAACATGCCTAGTCTTTTACATGTCTGAAGGGCAATGGGTTTAAATTTTCATTGGGAGCTGATGACAAAACAACAGCATGGGAGCTTGGGGTTTGCAGAGGAGAGAAGCAGAAGCTGAGGATGAGGGGAACAAGGAAGGATGCAGTGCTGTGGCACTGACATGTGAAGGAGTAAAAAACGTAGGAGGTTATTGCCAGGAAGAAATTATTTTGTTTCCTTGTAGAAAGATCAACCCAGAGACACATTGGAGTTTGAATGAGGTAAGATCCTGTAATATTATTACATTGTCTTCATTTTTGTTATAGCAAGCATAGGAAGCTGGGCCATTATAGCATCTTCATACACATTGTCTCACTGTAGGCAGCTAAGGAAAGAAGTACTGACTTACTGTGTGCTCACTGCTTGTAAGGGGGACCACAGCCCATGCCATGACGGTTGCCTGATGTCTTCAGAACCCCTCAGCTAAAGAAATAAGCAACCTCCTTTACTACAGTGTTGTGGTTTAAGCCAGCAGGTGGCTGAGCACCACGTGGTCATTTGCTCACTCTCCCCATTTCCTAATGGGATGAGGGAGAGAATTGGGAAAAAAAGCAGAACTATTTTCCCCAAGGGGGTTGAGAGGAAACTATTTACTAAGACAGAGAAAATGAAAAGGTGAATAGTCATGATAAATAATTACATATATACATATGAATGTGTGTAACAAATGATGCACAAACTATTGCTCATCACACCCCAAACTATGTCCAGCTCACTCCCTGAGCAATGGAACAGAGGAAGGTGAACTCTCACCCCCTTCAAAATGCCTTCAGCATGATGTCATATGGTATGAAATATCCATTTGGCCAGTTTAAGTCAGCTGTCCTAATATCATTCCTTCCCAGATCCTTGGGCCCTTCACTGAGAATTTCTTTGGCACAATACAACACTGCATAGCTACAACTATAAATATCAGTGTGTTATCAGCATTGTTTTTCTCCTAGATCCAAAATACAGCATCACACCAGACACTCTAAAGAAAGCAATTCCATCCCAGCTGAAACTAAGACATACAGAAAGAGTTCAATTTAAAACCACTAGCTTGATAATACCATCCTGATTAGCAGTAACTGGGAGATCTGTAATGAATAACTGCAGATGGACAGAAAGTAAACAAAAAGGAAAATCATTCTCTTCTTCAATCACGATACATAAGGAAAAAAACAGCTTAAGAGAGAATGCAGTGGCATAATATTTGATCTGCTGAAAGCAATAAACAAGGTTGCCAATCTGTGGTCTTGCTTAGCCCAGCAATAATGAGGAAATCAAAACTGCCCAAGAGATGACATCAGCACAGTTCCCAAACCAGCACCAGATGGGATGTCTTTTTCTGCCCTTTGTTATTCATGAGTGTTTGGTTACTTTTTTCCCAGCTCAACATCTGTTGTACTCATCTCAGGTAATGAATCAGTGAAGAGGGGTAAAGAATGGAGAAACTGATATTTAATCCTGAAGGAGGCCACAGCCTCATTTCCTCATTAACATGAGAGGAAAGCATAGAAAACTTGCTCTCCCAATCACATACATCAGAACTAACAGGAATTTCTAAAGAGTTTAGAAACACTGCAGTTGAACAACATAGAGCAGAATGACAGTCTAGCTTTCCTAAAGAAGCCTTCTTAGACTTGAAAATCACCCTGATGGCTTTGAGTGTAAGGAGGGGATACTTACTCTGTATTGTGTGTATCGATTGTGTGAAAAAGTTCATGCAGTTCTTCTCCACTCAGAACTCCATCAGCAAAGTAAGCTTTGAATTCATCAAAGGACAGTTTTCCATCATCTGAAAAAAAGAAAATAAGAAGAAAGCGTCGGTTTCGGTTATGGTTTTGCTCATTTAGTCCATGCAAAAAAAGGAGGAAGCTATTAAAAAAAAAAACACCAATCAACTAGCTCTTCAAAGTAAATGTAGAAACTTTATATTCAAGACATGTAAATAATATGATGTTAAATGCATCAGCTGTTGTACAAGAATTTTCAGTTTGACTGACAGCTCTGTTAATCTTCCTCCTTCTCATCTTTCAAAAAAGATAGCTTGGATTTGTAAGTCTCTACTGCCAAACACATCAAGACAATCTTCTTGTCTTTGCCTTTATCCCATTCACTGTGTCTTCTTCCCATCCTGCCCCACCCTTCCTCCTGCTTGGTCCATGTCCATGTCCTCACCTCTGCATGAAATATCAATGGCCTCTGGGGGCAAAGAAACCTTGGGAAACTACAAAACCAATAATTTCTTGAAGGAACATGTAGGTTCAGTGAAGATTACTCCAGCTATCTATTTATCTTCCTTTTCTTCTGCTCCCTGCCTCTTAAAAGGGAGAATGAAAGGGAGTGCACAATTCAATAGCAGTAGGGTCTCCTGTGTGGCTAGCAATGTTAATCAAAACACTGCACTGGTTTACAGCATTTTGATTTTCTTTTTCTTCAAAAGATACATATTTCTCAAAAAAAGAAAAAAAAAAAAAGGAAAAGAAAAAAGAAAAAAAAAAGAAGCTCCAAGTTTGGTATAGAAATAACAAAATAAACAAGAAATGTTTGACCTTTATGGAAGTAAAAAAGTTTTTTACTATGAGACTGGTAAGGTGCTGGAACAGGCTGCCCAGATGGGTTGTGGATGCCCCATCCCTGGAGGTATTCAAAGCCAGGTTGGATGGGGCCCTGGGCAGCCTGGTCTAGTATTAAATGGGGAGGTTGGTAGCTCTGCCTATGGCAGGAGGGTTGGAGATTTATGATCCTTGAGGTCCCTTCCAACCCTAGCCATTCTGTGATTCTGTGATTCTGTGAGTAAGAAGCCAGCTTCATGTCCTCTTCCAATGGAAAGAATTTCAGTTCATCTTCTTGGTCAGCGTAGAAAATAATAAGTTTTATATTTGACAACATGTGACTAGTCTGGAGATGACACCAAAAATATGCAATGAGAAAACTGTTTTGAACATATATCAGAGGTCAGCTGAATTTTAAGGCAGAATTCAAATTGATTGTGTAATATACAGTGGAGCCAGCTATAAAAAAGTTGATTTTATATTGTCTAAGTACCTACTATTTGTTTGGAACAAGAACAATCATAACCACATGGATCTCGATCACACTAATGTGATCTTATCAGTCCTGATCATCAATACATCTCCCCGTAGTTAGGAGATGTCTTCAGGACTGATGAAACTTGGAGCAAGGAGAAGTCTCATATGATTAAATTTAGAAGGACAGTAATAGCATGTACATTGATTGAGGAGGAAAGAGTCCTTGTTGCAACCTCTATTGCATTATTTAGCAGGTCATTTTCTTGATTTCACTTTCATTATAGCAAGCCTTTGACTACATGAGACCAGATCATTGAGCTGAGATGTATTAAGAAGTGGTTAGTTGGTGTTTTCAGGATGTTAGCACTTTAGATTGAGGCTCTGCCCTCCTTTTGTCAGATCGAACTGTGCACAACACTGACTAATTTCTAAATGGTATTCTAATAACTACACTATTTCGCTGAAGTAGGGACTGTATTTCTATTTCACTTTCCTTACAAGTCTAAAAAATCCTACTGATTGTGCTAAGCTGCAGATACTTTCTAATAAACAGATTTTTCTATTCTTTTAATGAATAGAATCAGAAATTGATAAAATATGTCATAGTTTGGATAGCTTGTCCCACCCATAGGATGGCCATGACTGCATTGACTGAAGCAGCAGAATCAGGCTATCATTTGCTCTTGTAAGACTCTTGGATGCAGGGGTCATTAGAGTCTATTAACTTGGCCTCTAATTAGACAGCATGATTATTTCTTTCTTGAGAATATGATTCAAGGCTGAGGAGAGGGAATTAATTAAAAGAAAAAAATAATGAAAATTCTGGCTTCTGAAATGGACTAAAGTCCAACATAGCCCATCACTCATAAGCCACAAAACAACTGTAGAGCAAAAGGCTGAGATGCCATTAACACCCAACAAGTTTACAATACCTAATTTTACAGCAGTGAAGCATCCATTACAAAGGCAGTATTTGAATCCTGTAACTACAAGCTGTACAGTAGCATGCACACTTGAAGAGCTGGGGAATATCTTCACTCTCTTACTTGCTCTTATTTCATAATTTCTTTGATTTGTATATATGACTTCAATGACTTCAAATGTGCTATCTTCAAGAGGATTCAAAATTGAACAAATTGAGTGTCTGTTTCAACAAAAACATTTTGAAAGGTTCCACTTGAAAAGACAGATTGTAGCTGGCAATAATCATCATCATGATTAAAATGAAAAGGCAAGATCTATAAGAAATCTAAATCAAGATGGCACAAGTGTTTTGAAGTGGTGAAGATAGGCAACTTCCTTTGACAGAACAGCCATGATTACCTAATTGAGAATCTAAATACATCTGCCATTTGGCACTAGTTGCAGAGTACAAATACCAACAAGCTGCTTTTCACAGCTATGCTTGCTTTGGCTTATACAGAAAAAATTGATCATTTAATCAAATTGCCTCTGCAGCTTCAGCCTCTGCTGGGCAGGGGATTTGCATGAGCTACACACACGCACAAGGAAGCAGTGATTTTTGGCAACTTTCCTGTATTAAGCATATGTGTTTACTCACAGAGCAGCCTGGCTGTGACACAGAACCTGAAACATCTGCCTATTTATCTTTGTTCTTGAGGATCATTGGTTTTACATCAATCCACACAATCTATGAACTGCCAACTGCCAGATTGGGCACATCAGCTGTTTGCTTTGTAATTCATTATCCAGCAGCAGAGATTGCCTTTTGATTCATCACTGTTATTCTCAGTAACAGTTTGAAAAGCCAGTCTTCTACTTCAGTAAGGTTGTTGCTGGCAAAAGCTAAGGAGCTTTGAACGTATTTGGTTACTTACAGACTTCATGCAGCTACATTTACTGAACAACAACTTTATTATTTGAGGCATTTCTCTCATTTGGTATAAATGTAACTGCTACTGTAACTGGGAGCCAGGGTAGACCTGTTCCTCTTGAGTACTCAGATGAAGTTCAGGCCCAATCCCTAGCAAGTGTTCCTTTTACTGTTTAATTGAAGACTTCTGCCTAGCCAAGTGCTTTCCCAGCTTCCAGCATGAGTTTTATTTAAAAGGCTGCATCACATATCCTCAGTCCTCCCTCCCTGGGGGCATGCTTCACTGCCTGCAGAGCTTCCAGATAAATACTGTCTGGTTTAGGAGTTCCAAAGCAGCAGAGCTGAACCGTCTGTTACAGATACTTCAGTCTTTGCCACTGGCAAAGTGACAGGGGATGGATGATTCACGGAAGACAAACTTTTCCGAAGGCACACATCCCTTGGACAAACCAGACAAATCCTTCAGCCTTCAGTAGTGTTTGCCTTGGCAACATTATCTCACAGGAGCTGTTTCGCAAGCCTTGCTTGCTCTTGCATATTTTTGAAGTTTCTTCAAAAACAAGCATAATTCCCCAACCTCTTTGGAACCCAAAGGTTCCTGACTGGCAATATAAACAATAAAATATATCTCCCCATGTAGCTCCAAGAGTAATGCCTTCTATTTTATGATGTTGACCCACGACATCAAGAAGTGAATGTTGGTGGATGTTCCTGCCAACAGAATCATAGAATCATAGAACCATCAAGGTTGGAAAAGACCTCCAAGATCATCCAGTCCAACCATCCACCTACCACCAGTATTTCCCCACAAAAGCATGTCCTTTAATACAATATCTAAATGTTTATTGAACACCTCCAGGGATGGCGACTCCACCACCTCCCTGGGCAGCCAGGAGACATTGCAAATTGTCTATGACTTCAAAGGATTACAGTGTATCTGACAAAAGAAAGCCACATATGTACTTTCTTTCTGAGTTGAAAGATAACCTCAGTGACCAAAATAAAATAATAATTAAAAACAAACAACAACAACAAAAAAACATTTTTGGGGTACCTTTGATGTATTTGGAGTCTCCATTCCCGAAGATAATGGCAAATGGTGAGTTTGCAGCCAACAGAGGTTATAGTGATCAGGGGAGCAGTGTACCTTGCAGAGATGATGGCAAAGGCCTGAAGGCAACCAAACAGTTCCCACTGTCACCTATTTTTCACTTCTGGTTAGGACTGTGAGCCAGCAGATACTTTTCCAGCAGGAAAAGTTTAGCACATGTAACTGAATGGTTCCAGGAGAGTAGGATAAACAGGGAGAGGGCTGGAATCTAAAAGTAGGCACTTTTTTTTTATTATTATTATTATTTATTTTTTTTTAATAGAAATAGTTAAGTTTCGAATCTTAAAATCCACTGGATGGAACTTATGGAATGTCATCATGGAATATGAAATGTGAAAGAATACAAATATGTGAAAATGTGAAAAAAAGTATAAATATTTAATGATGCTTAATGATGCTTTCTGATTACCTTTTGTCTACTAATTATGCCAAACCTTGTTTGTTTTCACTGCAGCTTGACTTTTTATGCAGGTAGTGATAAGGGGGAATGGCCTTAAACTAAAGAAGGGAGATTTAGGTTAGATGTCAGAGGGAAATTTTTCACTGAGAGAGTGGTGAGATGCTGGCAAAGGCTGCCCAGAGAGCTATGGATGCCTCATTCCTGATGTGTTCAAGGTCAGGTTGTTTGGAGCCCTGGGCAGCCTCCTTTGGGCAGCCCTACTTGTGTCAGTGGGGTTGGACCCATTCATTGACAGTGGAATGTAGGGCCCAGCCCCATGGCGTCTGAGGGATTCAGGGAGGTGGGGTGGGGAATCCTACCCCTGGCAGGACCAGGGAACAGAAACGGAAGCTGGTGTGGGTCTGCAATGGATCCAGGTGGTTGGAAAGTAAGTAGCAGTGTAGTGAGATCCTCAGGAGTCTGTGCTACGAGGGCTTAGTCTTACAAATCCATTTTATCGGTACTGAGAGAACAATTTGGGAGCTGAAATCTGCAGTGCAGATGTTCAGAGAATTTCTGTGCTCTGACTCCAATTTTAGATATATTTTCTGTAAAGTGATCCAATAGACATACAGCTCAGGCAGGACAAGATGCTGTTGACTTTATAGTGCTATTTTATACATTTGAATTCTATGTTTAAAAATTATGTTATGTCTATGCTCTGTATCATCGACATTAGTGGGTGCTGAATGAAGAATTGACAGAACGAGATGAGTCTAATCTTACTGCACTTTTTGTTTTACAGGTTCTATTTCAATGAAATGGTAAAATATATGTATTTTAAGGACAGGGAGAGGGGAGAGGGGGGACACGACAACTTTGAGGGAGTGCTTGTCATCATTTTTTTTCATTTTCCCTCATTTTGTTGCAGTTATTCCTGAGTGCATGCAGCATAATGCTCATGATGTCTGCTGTGCCCCTTACAGTTTGTTGTTGTTGTTTTGGGTTTTTTTTTTTTCAGAAAGTCTCTGCTTCTATAGAAATCATTACCATCAGTGTTTTCAAATCTCTCTCTCTTGGGAGCTTTAGAGATGTTTGAGATACAGCTTGTACTCAGTGTTTTTTTCGTAACAGTTGACTTGTATTTCCAAATCAATGACAGCATCTGCATACAAACCACCTTTTCAAACCAGTTGTATTAGAAAAGTTTTACTTAACTCCCATTTGGGTTTGATCCCAAGGGTTAGGGGGGAACAAGACCATAATCAAGCACTGGTTCTTAACTTGTGAAATTCAGTAGCCAGGCAAGAATGCTGCTCTGCTTGTAGCCATTTGTTTCCACCTCCACAGGGAATAGAGCTGAAGCAGCCATGCTCCCCTCAAGAAAAATCCAGAGATGTTAAAGCAGAAAGACTCTGACAAAAGGACTATTATGCTTGCAAGATGAGGAGCTGTGCCTTCAGTAGATTATCTCCAGTTTGCATATCTTACTTCTCCCCTGCTAGGTGGGGACGAGATTTTACTTTTTGTGAGGAATTTCATGAGTTTGATGTTGGTTGTTCTAAGTAGCAAAAGGAATGAAATAAATGAAGTTGGGAATTTTCAAAATAAGTTCTAAGTCAAATACTTTGAACACAGGGAGTTTTGTAAAGTAAACCAGACCAAAACTTCATTTTGACACCAAAACCTCTCATTTCCAGATAGGTCAGTGTGCTACATCTCACCTTTATGAAATTGTTTTTATTCCTCAGGATTTTCTGCTGCTTTTGTCAATATTATGAATCATATATTTCTTCAAAATGTGGTATTCGTTTTCCATGCCAAGTTCCCTCTCTCAGAAAATCATATGACTCTCAGTTGCAGGAGAAGCGTTTATCTGATCCATACAGAGTGGAGCTGCTCAGTCATGAAATACAAACTACAGATAGAGTTTATGAAGCTGATCATCCTGTTGAAATTGTAGATATTTCCAGAATTGGAATGGCAACAGAATGATGGCAGAGAAAGAAGCCACCACCACAAAATAATTAAAATTTATATGCCTTCTTTTAAATGAGGGAAATGACTTTGATAGTTTCTCACTTAAACCCATCTGTGATAAGCGACTGTCATATCTCTGAGTAACGGCAATTCAGCAGGATTTCTCAGCTCTGTAGCTCTTATTTTAAACAGTCCTTCCTTTGCTTAAGGCAAGCCTTAAGTCACACAGTTCAGAGTAAGAACACCCTCTCTTATCATATCCTATTTTTCAGTTTGATCCAACTTTTTGATTGCATTGTTTTATTGCTGTCAAACAAGCAACAAGTAGGGCTTTTATAATTAGTTGCATTGGGAGTATTGTAATCCCATAGAATTATTATGGCAGCTCTGAGAGAATCCTCTTAAAAGTGTAGAAGAGCTTAACAATATTCTGGACAGCAACTTGGTATTTGTTACTGTAAGCCAACACTTGATTTCCTATAGCACAGAAAGGTGACTGGAAATGTAAATGTCCTATTCATTAATGAAAGCTAATGATCTGTGTTGACAATAGTGTAAACATATTTGGTATGTCTTCAAATTTCCAGTAACATTTCAGAGCAGCTACTTAATATCATGGCCTTAAAACAAATCTGCTCCCTAATAATTTGGCACTAACCTATACTAGATCAGCAAAGTGGAAGTCCCACAGGCTACTGATGGTTGAGCAAACACAATTAAGCACATATGAAACCATTCCAGTTTATAGACTTGAATTAATAGAACTGGAGTGCTTGATCTCAATTCCTTCTGTACTATGCTGTAAAGCATCCATGTATAGCAGTGAACTCCAGTGAACAAAGTCTCTAGGGCTACTGGAACAAGCAAGTTTGTCACTGATTGCGTGAATCTGTTCTAATAGAAAAGTGTAAGTAATAAACTGGGGAGTAACTTGAAGGAGGACTGGAATTCCTCCTCACCACCAAAGTGCTGTGAATCCAATAGGATTGGGACAGAGAATGAATTCAGATGTCGGGACATAGACTTTGAAGCCCCAAGGGCTCTTGATGGCCACAGTAGCATTCAGCAGGAGCTGGCCATGGATGAGTGCTACAGGGCTGACTAGGAGAGGAAATAGAAAATCTGTCACTGAGTAATCGTCTGGATAATGCTCAGTCACATTCAGGTCTCAGGAGGGATGCTGACTTCTGCTCTGTACCGTGCACTCGGTCTTGTACCAATCTTCAGGGCAAACATAAGCATCTTCCCAAAAGCCACAAGCAGGTCTGCTGGAAATGCTGCAGTTGGTGTGAAGCTGAGCTGGCGAGGCACTGCTGGTGAAGGTCCTCCTTCACCCCTTTCCCAGCATCCCACACATTCCACACGTTGGGATTCAGTCTGCATCATCGCTGCACTTGAGAGTCATTGGTGAGCTGAGGGAGGTAACAAAAAATCACTACAAAAAAACCTTACATTGGCCCTGCATGTGGCAGGTGGGTTGGAGTTTCATGATCCTTGAGATCCCTTCCAACCCTGGCCATTCTGTGATTCTCTGATTCTGTTCTGCGTCCCTGAGCTCTCTGAATGAAACTGCTGTAGTTTAGTGGGAAATACCAGTTGCTGCACACAAGTTGGGGCAGAAACACACTGCCAGAGGTGGGCTGGGGGTGGGAGTGTCCTCCCAGCAACAGCTAATGGCTACCCAACGTCCCCAGCTATACCATCAAAATGTACAGTAGGTGCTTTTGTGCCCAGCAGGTCTTCCTTGAAAGCTCTCTTCACCAATGTTCTCAATGACAGTCATTGTGCCTTCACTTACCAGAGTGAGCTTTATCAAAACAGCACCATATATGTTTTCTGAGGACAGACTGGGAGTAACCTGCCAGGAGTAAGCCTGTCTGAGCTGTGGGTCTAGCACTGTTCAGTGCTACAGGAAAATGCCAAAGTGCAGCCTGAGCTTTTGCAAGAACCTTCATTTCCCTACTTCTTACACATTTGCATTTCAGTGGTAAATAATTGGGAGCCTGTATTTTCTTCCTGTCTTGTGAGATCTAGCTCTGGTTACCTAATAATGTGTGATAGCATAAGTACTATTATGGTAATTGTAGTATGAGTTCATAGTCTCAGAAGTACTCAATCTCACACTGTGGCAGTGGCATCATTTTGCTAATAGGAAAGTGGCACAAAATGAAAATGTGATTTGACCAAAATTGGACAGTAGTTCGGAGATAAGAAAAGGAGTTAAAGACAGGTCCAAGACAATGAATACATACACCAGCCAAAACTCCTGTGATGAATCCTGTGGCCTTAATGGCAGGGCCCTTCCCCTGCTATAGCCAAAATGTGTGAAGACTTACATGGTCCAACTTCCTGTATTCAAACAGGGGAACAACGTATGTGGAAAGAAGATTTGCCTTTAGCACCAGGGGAAAAATTTCAATCAACAACACAATAAAAACCTCACTTTTGTGTTATTAATGCACAAGTTGAATTCAAAGTTTTATTCTGCCTACTGACACACAGAACAAATATATAAACACAAATAGAGGGAATGCAAATTTGATTGCTGGATACAGCCTATAGTGCTTTAAAAAAGTAATAAGATGAAGCTAGAAACAAATAGATGAAAACTTCTTGGGAACAGAATGTCGCTATGAAAACACCCACATACACCCAAAGTGCAAATCAAACATGCATGCTAAATTGTGAAAGCAAAAGATCTGTTCTTAAGGAATCCACTGGGAGAATCAGTGCACAACAATACACACTGCACAGAACCTGCAGACAACATAAAATGGCATGAGAGATGGTTTTCATATCAAGATGTTTAAAGCATGATTTAAAGGCTGTATCAGTGACGAGTATTTTTCCCAAAGGAAGGAGGGAAACAGGTGACTGGTCTTACCATTCTTGTCTGCTCTTCTCAGTATCTAAATGAAAAGAGAGAGAAAGGAATTACTTTTTTGATATAGGTTCAGCGCACATAAGGCTGTATTTAATGGGCATTCACAGTTGAAGCGGTACATCACATTCTAGAATGCTGTATAAAACTGAAAAGCCTTCAGTGTATCTCTATTCTTCTAATATTGCTTTCTTTAATTCCTCCTGTGCTGCATGCACATAAAACCAAACCCCTAAAAACCAGCATTATTTACTATTTTACACATGGCTTACAAGGATCATGTCCAGGCACAGAAATGCCACAAAACTACTGTGCCAAAACCCTGGACTTAAGGATGGGAGAAGCCGTATAGAGAAGCAGAACAAGGGTAGTAGGCAGCTGGGGTATGGTCTGAGCATCTGAGGTGTGGAGAAAGACTCAGGGTCTGGGTGTGTGGAGGGAGAAGCCAGGAAAGGAGCTGGGTGGCACACAGTGATCAGACTGGGGGTGGCAGGCAGCAGTGTCAGCTGAGTGGGAACAAATCTCAGGATTCCTCTGTTGGTAGGAAACAGATTTTGGAATAAAGGTCTCCCCATGCAAAGGCTGTGGAAGGACTGCAGCAGGTGCCCCCAGTGAAGACCAGTGGAATCCCAGCTGGGGTCTCAGTGCAGGTACAACCACCATAGCTCACTTTTTGGATCAGTGTTTTCTGATAGGTCCCTGTTCTCAGGGTGAGGTGGCTTTGCTGACTAGCTGCCAATGGCAGGAGTATGCTCTGCTTATAGTGCTGCAACTAAATGAAAAACCTGAGGATTCAGGTGCCACATTCTACTGGATCATCCTTGCTGAATTCTGCCAGATGGCGTCAGGGCAGAAATGAAAAACAGTGACCAACAACCAGGATTTCATTTATGGCCTCTGAGCTGAACTTTCCTCCAGGTTCAGTTTACATCATGCGCAGTACGAAGGAGGCTTACCAGGATGACACCTTCCCTCCTTGTATTTCCAGATAAATTAGTTTTCTGTAAGAGGATTGGACTGTTTGGGGTTTTAAAGTTTGTACTCTAAACTGGAAATTTCCTCCTAATGCTAACACAAAACTTTTGGCCAAGAGCAGAGCAAAAGAAAGAGCATTCAAAGGATTGTCGGAATAAAATAAAATCCTTTTCCACGGTTCCTAATGGGGAATATAAAGTCATGGATTCCTGACAGGTTGAACTGGATTTTTGGGAGACTCTTGTTGGTCTTTCTCCCATGTCATTGCCAAACACTCTTGTTTCCTTTCTTGTCACCTGGAGGAAAAGTCAGCATGCATGTCAGTGTGTCTACCAGCCAGGATGGCATAGAATCATGGAATCATTAATGTTGGAAAAGACTTCTGAGGTCATCTAGTCCAACCACCCACCTACCACAATACTGCCCAGTGAACCATCATGCTCCATAGCTAGCAACTGTATGTATGCAGAGATGGCAAAGAAAGTCACAGAGTTGAACGATTTTGCAGGTTTTTTCAGCTGGAAATTGACAGATTTGTGAAGTCTGAAGACAGCAGAGAAAAACAGTATTGTGAGATCTAAAGTGATGAACTGAGCTTTGTTACACCCAGTTACAGGCGATTCAAGAGAACAAAGGGTGCCCACCATCAGATGCATATCAAAGGTGCTAGCAGTGCAGAAATCCTGCTGCTCACCTTGCAGGTTCATTACTAACAGATTAAAAATGGCAGTTGTCACAAGCAGCAGAGCTTCATGTGTGGTACAACTACAGCAGGGATGCAGATTGCACCTTGGGCAAGGCATCTGCATCTCCAAGAGTGCTGGTTGCTCCATCTTGGCTTATAGATGTGTAGGGTTGGGGGCTTCAATTGACTAGAGGTGCCCCAAAGATATGGGTAAAAGGGGGCTAAAAAAATCTGCATAAAAATACTTTTTAATGAAAATAACACTACCACTGCCCCATAGAAATGTTAAAATAGTTTGGATGTAAGTAGGTATTTTGACACAAAAACAGGGAAGAGGTTGCACTAGAAATCAAGACTGCTGTATTTTCATCATGCACTCAAATGGAAACAGTAACTCAAAGAAGAGATTTAAAGAAGTTCTTATGAAGCCTAGAGAAATTATTAAATGAGCAGACATGGTTTTGATTTTGCTTGAAATAATATGGGCAACAGCCTGGTGAAGTTAATCATAGAATCATAGACTCTTTTGAGTTGAAAGGGAACCTTAAAGGTCATCTAGTCCAACTCCCCTGCAATGAACAGGGACATCCACAGCTAATGTGGTCATACTGGATAAAACATGTAGACAGAGGATCCTGAAAACAAGCTTCAATACACAACATGTCTTTGCCAGCAGATACTATGGATTAACTCTGATATAAGAGTTGGTCTGAAGTAGATCACAATTAGTGGTAATGTTTGAGTGCTATGAAACATAGATACGCAGGTATGAAGATTTTCAAGTCTCATGAAACACAGAGGATACATTAGAGATGTTGGGGATGGAGTTTACCTTTTATGCAGTGCTTGCCTTGGACCAAAGGAACATTCTGTGCCAAGTAAGCTTAGACAACAAGTACTGCACCTGCATCTTGAGGGGCTGAGCTGATGGTCCAGCACTGCACCTGGAGGAGCAGGATGGGCACATGCTGGGCTGCTGCCTCACCAGGCTTCCCTTGCAGGTCTACTCAGCACCTCAAACCCATCAGGCCCTAGCAGGACACATTGGGAAAAACTCCACACTTCTGCAGGGTGAGATACTCTATAGTGGAAAGCCCAGAAAAAAAATAAAAAAGCCAAGCAATGCAGCTTGACAAATGATGGCTTTTTCACCCAGTGGCTCTCTGAACCTTCCCTAATTGCTAACCTGCACTCCTGATACAGGCACGCTGTTGGCAGCAAACTCGCTCTCCAACACAGGAGGAAAAGAGGAAAGAGAAAGGGAAGAGAAAAGGGAAAAGACAAAGGGAAAGGGAAAAGAGAAAAGGGAAAGACCCATAGCTTTGCTGAGCTTCATTCCCTTCCACACAGGAGAGGAAATCATAGCTCCGCAACAAAAAAAGGAAAAAACAAACAAACAACACAGCAATAAACAAATACACCCCCATCCCCAAATGCTTGCGAATGATGCAGGGGGTCCCGGCAAGGCTGCCGCCTACTCACATCGCGGAAGATGCGCATCCCCGCGCCCAGCTCCGCCGCCATCCGCCCGGCTCAGCCGCCGCCACCGCCCGCAGCTGCGCCGGGACCGCGGAGGGGAACCCGCCGCCCCCCGGCCCCGTCCCGGCCCCGGGGCTGGATGCTTTGCCGGGGGGCCGGGCCGCAAGCTCCGCCCGGCGGGGGCTGGGTCCTGTGTGCGTCTGTTGGTGCCGAGGGTGAGCTCCCTCCAGTGGGTTGGGCAAATGATTAGAGAGAAAAGGAAAAAATGCCCCAAAAGCGGCTGGAGGAGAGCTTGAGGGATGCGGTAGACCCTGTGTTGGAAGACGGCACTCTGACATTTCTCTCTGGGTCAGTTTTGGAGGTTAAGCCTCCTTTGTAGCCTTGGCATGTGGATAGGTGATGAGGATCAAGCATATTTTTGCCTCTCCATTATGGTAATGATCAGCAAAAGCAAATGGGCTTGAAAATAGGGTTCTATTTCTGAGAGCGCTGTCCAGATGCTTCTTGAACTCCAGCACTCATGCCGTGCCCACTGCCCTGTGCAGCCCGTTCCGTGCCCACCGCCCTGTGGTGCAGCCCCTGTCCCTGACCCCCCCCGCCCCTCCCCTGACGCAGCTCCATGCCGTTCCCTCGGGCCCTGTCGCTGTCACACAGAGCAGAGCTCAGCGCTGCCCCTCCGCTCCCTGTGAGGAGCTGCAGCCGCCGTCAGGCCTCCCCTCAGCTCCTCTGCTCTGCGCTGAGCACACACAGGGACCTCAGCTGCTCCTCATACATTTTGCTCTCCACAGCCTTCACCATCTTTGAAGCCGTCCTTTGGATGCTCTCTAACGGCTTGATGTCCTACTGTTGTTACACCCAAAGCTGTGCCCAGTGCTCAAGGTGAGGCTGCACAGCTTCTGATATATCAAGATCTCTTTGCAAGACCTTTCTGCTCTCAAGGGATTCAACATTTCCTCCTAATTTAGTGACTTTCACAAACTTAGTTGTTATGACTTCAAGTTCTACATCCAAGCCATTAAAAAGAGCTGGCCCTAAAATGGAGGCCTATGGAATCCCACCAGTGATAGGAGATTTATAATGCATTCACTTCTGACAGGACTACTTCTGGTGTCTGACTGAGCCTCTTGACCCAGGTGATGCCCTTCAGCTTCTGCTCTTGCTGGCAGATAACATGCAATTATCTACTACACGTCACAATCATGATATGATAATGTCATAGGTAATGTTAGAGTGAAGGTTTTACTTTAAAACACCTTGCTGTATTAAAAGCCTCTGATACAGTCTGGCATGTTCTGTGTGGATTTTCTTGCTTCTTCTACTTTGTTCTCAGATTTTAAAAGAAAATCAAAGAATTCAGAGAGAGATTTGTCCAAAAGGGAAAACTGGGCATTTTGCAGGGTGAGAAAATTGCATCTTGCTTACTAAAGGTGTCTTGAAAGAGATGGAAAATCATCCCAGGCTATTTTTGCTTTATAATAATACTGAGAGGCTTCCATTTAATCTGCTTCTTGTGACAGAAGTCTGGATTGCTGTTTCTTTCCAGACAGAGAAAGAAGTCCAAAGGTTGTCTCAAGAGCCAGGATGATGAATAGAGATATGGAAAAACTTCTCCAGGTTGTATATGGGCTTGTTTTTGTTAACAGTTGTAACAACGACAGTAATAATAATGATGCATATTTTACTTGAATTACTATCTTGAAATGAAAACATCCTTTTCTGAAGAACTAATATATTTCCCATTTGATTGGTCTTAACAGGAATACTTTAGGTCCATCTAGAGAAATCTTTCTTAAAATTATTGAGAAATTTTATTGGCAAAAATATACATTTACAGAAATAAAACAAACAAACCTCGCAGGAATATAAGGAAGTCATATTTCCATCATCAAGAAATATTATTTGCAAACCACCTTTGCATGAACAGAAGTGTGGAAGAACTATTAAAGTAATGAACATTGTCAGAGACCATTTAGTTTTAAGGTTTAAATGAGCAAATAAATTTGTGAGGGGAGTAGCTGCATCAATTTCTGATGAGACCTTTTTATACCACTAAACATTTTTTTTGGAATGCCTGAGTTTTAACAGCACAAGGAGGATGAGAACTCTGAATTTCACTGATTTCTGCAATGTATTCAGTGATTCCTCTCTGAACAAAAGGCAGTGGGCAGGCTATGGGGAGGAGGGCCATGGGGATAAAGCCATATGAGGACATGGGAGTGCAATTACATGCAGTTACGTTCTGAAATCCCTACGGGAGGTTAGCAGAAGCTAGTGACCAGTGATCTGGTAACTTCAGTGGCCACAAAGCTGTACGGTTCAAAATCAATTAAAAGAAGTGGAGCTGTCTGGGATGTGTGTAAGAATAAAGCATAAAGCTGCCTGCTCTTTTTCTTGCCATGTGTCACATCATTAAACTTGCATTTAGGAACCAGCCTACTGCACCAATGTCTTCACTCATGTGAAATGAAAGGAAATGATCAGTACTTAATGATGTTGCCCTTTTATCTGAGAGAAACAAACATAAGAAAAACAGCACTAACAGCTACCCTACGCTTACTGTGTAGTGGGCTGTGCAACAGAAGCCCTCAGCAATGGGATAAATGAAACAGCTTCCTTTATACTGAGGAAATGTAAGCGTTCTGACTCTCTAATATAGTTACTAAGTCACTTTATGATGGTTAGCCATGTGTGTTGTCTCTAAATGTCAGGAAAATGCTCATGTCAAAGTAGAACATTTCCAACTGAAGACTAGCTTGCACGCTATGGTAGTCCACGGGTCTGTAATGAAAAGTACTCTTTGGCAGAGGAAATATATCTGCTTTATGGTCCTTTTTTGACTGTAGGAGTGGGATGATAGCTACAGAAAGAGTTGAACTAGCATAATATGATGTCTCTCTGTAGCTCTCAGAACATGGTATTTTGTCATGGTTTGAGCATCTGGTCTAATGCCCTATAGGCAAACCTCAAATCCCCCAAAACCATGGCCTGCTCCTTTCTTTTCCTCTGGTCCCATATCCACTGTTTGATAGAAGAGAAGCCAAAACACTCTCCAACAGGAATCCAGAATAGACAACTGGGATGCAGAATGTACATCAGCAGGTGAGTTGAATCCTGTTTGTGTGCACTGGAGCTCTTTTCTTGTTCACCAGGAGAAGACATATGGTGTAAAGGCATAATAACACATGAGCAATTAAGCAGCTGATTTCCTTGTTGGTGTGAAGCTTCATACAGCTTGCACTAAAACATTATTTTGCTCTTCTTTTTTATTTGCATGCTCTTTCTATACCTGTTTGGGAAAATCACGGTTTACATAGAGGCTCTTGGTATTATTTTTCCAAGCAGTTCTGTGTATTGGACTGACTCTTACCAGTCAGTAGGAAATGTGAGACCTCTCCTGGGATCTAAGGCAGACTTGAGAGCAGCAGCTGTGAACCTTAGTCTCTCTTTATTGCCCCCTCCTTTCTTTCTGCAGGAGATAAACAAGACTGGGATGAAAAAGTATAATTATAAAAATAGTAAAACAGGAATGGTTCTGATTTCAGTAATGCACAGCAGTGCACTCAAAGCACCAAGAGTAAACTAGATAGGCATCATTGTACAAAGCATATTGGTTGTTCCTTGCAAGAAGTAAAACTTTTTATAATTTTCACACACTCTCACATACAGCCA